AATCACAGCAGATGGCCCCGCCCCTCCCTGAGCCTGGTTCTGCTGGAGGTTTCTTCCTGTTAAAAGGGAGTTTTTCCTTCCCACTGTCGCCAAAGTTTGATTGTTGGGGTGCAGGATCTTTATCTTACGATATAAAGCATCTTGAAGTGACTGTTCCTGTGATTTAAATAAAATTCAACTGAAAGCACGAGACAGAGAATAATATTGATGATTTGAGAAACACTGAATCTAAGTCACATCATTAAAATTTGCATAAGAATATTCTTGTAAATATTTTTATGTTTAGTTATTCGAGTTAAAAGTTACACTGACTTTGGTATAAACACAAACTGGTGTTGGTGAGAGAGATCGCTGTGGTTCAGACGGCTGTTTACTCAGCTCCTCGCCGGAGATTCGTTAGACCAGTTGTTACATCATTTTCACGTTACTCCTTAAAAGGACTACACATGCATTACCACATGATTAACAGTTAGAGGAACAATTCCACACACCAACACGAATCCCTATCCTAACGAGGACACACGCGATCTTTCTCTTAGTATTTATGTACGAACACAAAGCAAAGACGAAAACCGACCCAGACGCATCAGAGCGCCGCGGTGATTCAGCCGTGGACACACGAACAGGTGACTGCTCGTCGCTGCTTTGTTACCTGCTGCAGCTTTGACAGCACTCTGTGCGTCGGCGCTTTTGCACAGTAACTGTAACAGTAATGTGACGGCTCCGCCGCTCTCCTCCACCAGCACAGACCTGAAATCAGCTGCAGGAAGAAAACATTCCTCTCCACCCAGTGTGCAGATACCTGAAGAGCCTTTGTAACATGAGTAATTATATAACTGTGACTGTAATGTGATTACTGAATTTACTGCAGTAATGTTACTGAAAACGTTCATGTGATTCATTTAGAGCACTGTCTGTTATTCTCCCTCATTTCCTGTTGTGCACAGTCTGCACCGATCACTCACCGAACACACGTGATTACATGTGATTACATCACACATCACAATAAAAGCATCTTTCGGTCCTGAACTCTAACTGGAAACGTCAGTCCCACGCTGACTTCCCGGAGCAGCTCTCTCCGTCTCATCTTTCACCCTGTCAGGCCACCTCTGCGCTCCACACGTCGACTGAACGCGTGTCTGAGTCGCTGTCCCGCCTGCTGCTGTCAGCTCTTTTTGATTATTTCTCTGCCGTCAAGGATGCAAGCGAGATCAGGCTCATCTCGTCCTCGCTGGATCTTGGCAGAGGCCTCTCTGCATGTTAAACTCAGTCGGCTGCGTCACAGATTCAATTTGAAAGTTGCACAAACATCTGTGGAACAAACGCCTTCTTCAGGGACCGCTTCAGACCGCAGGGACAACAAACGCACGCCTTTATCCTCCTAAAACTTAAATGTACACCAACTGTGCCGAGCAACCTGGATGACAAAAATATCAGGATTTACAATTTGTGGTGTGATTTACACCAGTGTGTCCTGTTCAGCATCATTTCCTCGTTATACTGCAGCCTGCACGGCGCCTCTCCACTCCTCCTCAGGTACAGAACGTGAAAACTGGATCTGTGGGTAAAATCTGCAGGAAAGTCTCTGACTGCAGCCCGTTCGCTTTCCTTCCTGCAGCAGCAGCAGTTAAATGAATTCCTGCTCTCCACCTGCAGGCGTTCCTCCATCAGCCCTTCCCACGATGCACCTGTACAGCCTCCAGCTCAGAACCAATCACAGCAGAGGGAAATGAAGCTGCACAAAGCTGGTGTGAAATTCCCTTTAACCGAGGTCTGGGCTTTTTATCTGAATCCCTTTCATCTTGTTTCACAATGACAAAGAACATGTTTTGTCTGAAGGAGGCTCAGAGCTTCCACACAGACAGCAGCCTGCAGCCACACTCCTCATCTCAGAGTCGGTCTCAAATCCTTAAAAACTTCAAACCGGCCAAAGATTCTGATCACGCCCGAAGCGGTTTGATCCGACACTAAATACCCGAAACGTCACGAACGACCAAAAACTAAGCTGAGCTTTGCAAATGTGTGGTCAGAAGAAAAGGAGACAAGGTCCAAAGGCAGAACATGAGACACACATCATCCGCCTGATAAAAATAACTATAATAACCAATAACAACTATTTTAATTCTATTTTGAAAATACAAAATTGAGCACCAGTCAAAAAGGAATATTAATACCAACACTGCACACGGGGCCTTTCAAAGGTTACCAGATGTCAGATTTGCAGTCGTAGCCCTGGTGGCTCAGCACCTCTGGGCTCATGTAGTACGGAGTCCCTGTGAAGGTGGTGGCCAGGTCACATGATCCCATCAGCAGGCAGGAAACACCAAAGTCACCTGGAAATATGAGAAGCATCATCCTGATGACTGATCTGCTGTTAAACTGAATCTGAACATCTAAAGAACCTGCAGAAGGTCCGTGAACACCTGGACCTGCACACGCCAAACACATGCTCTGTGTCACGGTGGGCCGATAACGTCACAGGTACATACATCCCACAGATACTGAACGATCCACAGACCTGCGTGATCCTCACCACGCTTTTTTGTTCTGTCTATAAAGAGCAAAGCTGCATTATTCACCTCCAGCAGCCCTCAAACAGCGACAAAAAGCTCTTCAGAGCTGGACGTGGGAACATCACGCTCTGAGACCACGAAGAGCACCTGAGCCGAGACGTCAGAGGTTTAAATAACTTCTGTAGCAGCAACGGAGCCGCGGAGAGTCAGAGACACTCGGTCGCTCAGCTGTGAAACACACAATGAACATTTAAAGTTGGAGAACGCACTACTCCAATGGAAATGGACCAGAGTGTCCGCTACTGACCCCGACAGCTCCAAAGCAACAGCCAATGAGTGAATGAGCAAATCTGTGGATACAGATCTGGAACTTCTAATTCTACGCTGATGCATTTGAATATCTGATTAACATAAGGCTGATCGTGACACAGTGAGACGACACCTTTGCTGACAGCTACTGGAAACCACTAACTGTGCCGAACGTAACGCCGCTCACATGACTGCACAGTAGATCTGCAGCGTCTCTGTGGCGTCGGTGCTCCGTGTGTGCAGCTGGTAAACTAAACTCTCACAGAGTTCTGGTTCAAAACTGCAGACGGCAGCAACAATCTGCTGAGTTTACACTCCACACACTCAGCGTAAACCCACTTCCTCCTGCGTTACTACCCACTCGTTAGCTGGAAGCACGCTTCTATTTGCGGCCCTGTTTGTTGTTGTTGCTGTTAGTGAGAGGAAGAAGCCCTTTTAGGCAGCAGACAGTTTTGTAATACACGCACAAACGTGAGGAAAGTACCGCAAGCCTTCGCAGCAGCAGCACAAAGAGGACGCTCACCGATTTTAACGAGGTTTCGTTTCAGGAAGATGTTCTTGGCCTTCAGATCTCGGTGGAGGATCCGCCTGCAGAGAGCAGCACAGCAGATAAAAAGCAGGTTGCAAACTGAAGCCACTTCAGTCTGCAGTCATTTGTTCTAATATTAAACAGCTACAAATGTTACTGTTTTTGTGACTTTTTGTTGTCACCTAGAATCTCATTAAACCACAAAACGTGTTTCTACTTAACTACCAAGTGTCAGCAGATAAAACATGTGGAGCAGATTCGCTTCAGAAACAGGACAAACATATAAAGCCAAAGACGACTTTAGAGGAAATAATAGAAAACTGCACCTGTCGTGTATGTAGCGAAGGCCGAGCAGGAGCTGGATGAGCCAATCAACGACCTGGCTTTCAGGAAGGCTCCGCCCAGCTCGTCTCACCTCTCCTATCTTACAGTCCAGATCCTGATCCTGAGGGCACAGCGAGGAGGAAGTGATGCGTCACTCATTGACTGAAGTGCATGTGTCATTCCACTTCACTCCACAGTAGCAGCTCCTGAGTGGCTCAGGCTTTCGTCTCAGCTTCTGTGTGAAATGAAGGAAGCTTTGACAGCAGACCAGTTTGGGAACGCCTGCAGCCAGAAGTCAGAGAGCTTCACTCCAGCAGCTCATTAACGTGCGGCTGAAGCTCCAGCTACAGGTCGGTACTGCTGTTCGCTCTCAGCCTGGCGTGTTCACGTTCTGTCAGACTGATGCAATTAAAAGGAGCCGCACCAACTGCCAGCAGCAGCTAACTGCAGCCCGTCCGCTGATGTGCCGACGATTATAATCAGATTACTGAGATATTAAAGGAAAGTTCAAACAGCTTTGTTTGCTCAGTTCTGGATTTTATAAGACGATGTGATTTCCGGTTTTTTCTTCGTCAAATCAGATTTTTCTGCTCACTCTATCAGGCTGAAGCAATGCCTCAGAGTCGTCCACAGCTCTGCAGGGGATTGTGGGTAATGGGGTGAACAGAAACAGTAGCTCTTAAGATCTCCAAAGGCGCAGCCTGTTCATGCTTAAGTGTGTTGAATTACACTAAATCCTCACAAAAGGCCTAAATATTGTTCAGTCTGTGTGTTTGTAGAACAGAAAACCAGCCGGTTGGCAGCACAGAAGCACGGGAAGCTTCGTGAACTGTTCTGCAGCAGTGATTCAAATCTTCAGGAGATGCTGAAGGAGGTGGGGGAGGGGGGAGAGAGCTGGGTAATGAGGGGGGAGGATCGCCGTCAGGTGACGCAAACGAGCGGGCGAGGGGGATACTCCGAGTGAGGGAGGCAGAGAAAAACACGAGTGGAGATGAAGGCAGCGTGAGAGTCATTAGTGGAGAGGCTGAGTGTGAAGACGGCACCTGGTGTCATCGAGACAGCAGGCGTGAAAGATGGCGTGGAGGGAGGGGCGGGGGGTTCGGTTTCAGGCTGTTGCTTCATTGTGTCTTTATCAGACAGAGCGGCTCTCCACAGGCCCAACGTTCGCTGATGCAAACCTGCAGATCTGCAGCTTTTGTCACGGTTGCTTCATTCTTACTTCCTCATGTGTTGTGACTGAGGTGAGGATGTTTTTGAAGAGCACGGCGGCCGCGGACAAAGAGAGCACTCGGTTTCACTGCAACGTCAAACGAACCAGACATGCAGGTGTAAGAAACGTAAGACAGGGAGGCATGTTAAACCCGATCAGGAACAAACTCTAACAGCTGCGTTGGGCAGGTTGGCTTAAGGCAGCTTGAACTCTGCGCATTACAGACGGACGGCAAGTTAGCACGAACCCATGTTCCCGTGGTAGATGACCGAGAGTTTGAACCCACATCAGGCGTGTCTCCCACAAACAGGCAGTGTTTCAATCAGGCCTCAAGCTCCAAGGCTGAAAATGGGAACCATGCCGGCAGTGGGGGAGAACAGTCAACCCAAGCATGCTGAAATGCTACCAAAAGAAAAGACTTTACCACCATATGTCTCTCTGGGACTTAAAACGCTCATTCAAACAAGCTGGTGTAGTTAGCTCCGTTAGCTACTGTGAGTGATCTACATTCAGCTATAAATAAGAAGCAGAAAAGCAAAGCCTGCAGTTCCTCTAACGTCCACTTGAGGCTCCAGCAGTGAGGTTAGAACAGGAGCAAACAAAGACTAGTTTCCTCTGGTCACTGCAACTGTTTTAAATCCTTCACACGTTCGTTTTTTAACACTTGATGGTTGCATTATTGGGGGCGTGGCCTCTTTAACTGCTGAACACTGAAGGTCCAACTGAATTTACTGAGGTTATTTTTGTTAGGTGAGGTTTTGGATCAAAGGGATTCAGTCTCTCCCTGTGAGTGCTCCTGGTTCCTGTTACCTGGCAGTACTCTGTGATTATACAGAAGGCGTCTCTCTCCAGGAAGCTGTGGTAGAAGGTCAGTATCGCCGGGTGGTGCAGCTGAGACAGCAGCTGGGCCTCCTGAGTGGCTCTAACCGTCTCGTCGGGTCGAAGGTCACCCAGAGGAATCTGCTTCAGCACCTTCCTGGATGAGAGAGACAGGTCAGAGGGACGTTCTGCAGGTGTGAAGCACCTGTTTACTGATGGCGTTCATGATGTTCACGGCAGGGAGCTTTTAGAAACATTTCAATGTGAACCAGTGCCTTAAAGTTGAAGGATGCACACAGCGTACTGGGTAAGAACTTTGTGGAGCGATGATATTTCTGCAATAAAAACTGGTGGTCACATCCAGAGGGAGAGCGCACAGACTGCTAATGTCAGCACGGAGCTAAAAACCTGGAGCAGCGTGGTCTCAAACCTCCGTCCTCCCCCTCAGGGAGGTAATCAGCTGCTGCTCACCGAGCAGGCCGTCTCTCCAGCTCTTGTTAAATTGGTGAGCAGGTCAGCAGGTGAAACGGAGGCTCTGGTTTATTAGCTCCCTGCTCTCACCCCCTGGGCTTCACTTTCTGCTGTGAAGACAGCAGAAACACAGCACGGGGTCAAAGTGGAAATTCCTCAGTTAAAATACGACCTGCTTACTGTGATTATGTGATTTTACTGAGGAGTTACAGCATCATGTTGCAACATGGCACAGCGGTGACTGTGTCCATCCTTTCTGTACAGTCTGTGGAGCTGTAGCAGAGCAGTGGCGCTGTACTTTAGTAAAGCTCCACTCTTGTTCTATCATTTCTTGTTTTCATGTTTTGTTTTTGTCATTTTAATTAATGCAGGAATCAGGTCACATTTCCATTTACCTATCACATTATCTTTTCCTTTTTCCTTTTTGAATCTTTTCTCCTGAGAAAAGGCAAAAATTTAAATAAAACAAGAGCGAGCTGTTTGTGAAATGTCATCTTGAACCCGCCTGAACCTTTTAGTTCAGGGAACGGGGGCGTCGTTGTCTCCGCGCCGCAGCTGCAGACTTTCCGCGGTGAAGGAAAACAGCTGGATGCTGTCGATGCTGACGGCACATCAGTGATGTGAATGAGCAGAGTGTCAGTCATCATCCAACTGACGCACACACTCACACTCAGAGACACACACTTCCATGAATCTGTAATCTCAGAGCTTTGATTCATAAAGCAGAACAGAAGGATCAAAGAGACGTGAGCTCTGATTTCATCCTGCACACGACTGAGGCGAAAAGGCTTTGTGCTGCTTTTCAGTCTTTTGTAGTTTTTTGCCTTTTTGTGCTTTTTGTGGGTTTTTTGTTGCTGCTTTGGTTTTTCTGAATGTCGTGTGCGTCAACTTAGATGAGCTTAGAAACCTTCCCGTGCTGTGACTTCACTTCAGTACTTAACGTTTACTCAGGATTATTCCACAGAAACTAAAACAGCAAAGTAAACTTCCGTCTGCACTCTGGTGCTCGTCTTTAACAAAGGTGAGAAATGAACCCAACACACCTTTAACCTGAAATATTTTTAATGCCCAGCAGGGGGCGACTGCTACCGTGCACGGTCCTCTGTGACCTAACACTGTGCTGATTTGCATCACATCACACTGGATAACACATGACGTCCACCGATTTGATTTGATTTGAAACAAAGTCAGGGCACGTACATGTTGGGATCATCTTCTCTGTCCCACCAGAAAATTATTCAAAAAGTTCACGACTGATTCGAACGTGCAGCTTGTTAGTTTCCTGTAACAGAAATGCAACAAGTGGGTCTTTACTACGAACCTATTTGAATGTGATCACAGCTGTCAGACGCGGAAGTTAAATCCACCCATGCATCCGCTTCTCTTTTTCAGGGTCGCGGGGCCGCTGGAGCCTATCCCAGCTGTCATAGGGCAAGAGGCGGGGTATACCCTGGACAGGTCGCCATGTCGCAGGGCCAACACACAGACAACTATTCGCACTCACATTCACACCTACGGGCAATTTAGATTAATCGATTAACCTATCCGCACTAACTGCATGACTTTAGATGGTGGGAGGAAGCTGAACAGAACATGCAAACCCGGCCTGATGGTGGAATTGAACTCAGGACCTTCTTGCTGTGCGGCAACAGGGCTCACCACCGTGCCCTAAAACGATCTAGGGGATCTATAATTTACGGTGGCCCTGAGAGGCCAAACGTACTGCAACTTAAGAAAACACCAGCAATAAGAAAAACGCTGCAAAAGCACACTCGTCCGTCGGCTTATTGTCTCCCCAGAAACACTTCCCTTGTGCATTTGGAAACCTATTTTTTCCTATTTCCGTTTTTGTTTTTTCTGTTTCCTATTTCAGGATATTTGAACGAGATCGCGGATACAAGCGGCAGAAATGAGCTTCCTCCGAAGGGTGGCTGGCCTCTCCCTTAGAGATCGGGTGAGAAGTTCGGCCATCCGGGAGGGGCTCAGAGTAGAGCAGCTGCTGCTCCACATGGAAAGGAGCCAGCTGAGGTGGTTCGGGCATCTGACAAGGATGCCCCCTGGGCGCCTCCTGGGTGAGGTGTTCCGGGCATGTCCCACCGGGAGGAGGCCCCGGGGCAGACCCAGGACACGCTGGAGAGATTATATCTCTCGGCTGGCCTGGGAACGCCTTGGTATTCCCCCGGATAAGCTGGAGGAGGTGGCTGGGGAGAGGGAGGTCTGGGCCTCTCTGCTTAGGCTGCTGCCCCCGCGACCCGGCCCCGGACAAAGCGGATGAAGATGGATGGATATTTGAATCCATTCAGTTTACGCAGACCCACAGGACACTCCCACTGATTTCTGTTACAGCCGCTGTCTTCAGCTTCATCTTAGAGGGTCACAAATGTGAGCCAACACAGGGGAAAAGCTTCCCGTTCAAAGAACAACCGGCTCAGCGGCGCCGTTACTGCCTTTGATTTCACGTTAAAGCCAAAAGGCTGCTGGGAAATCAAATTCACAGCCTGAATTTATAATTTATGGGCAAAAAAATCTATTTCATTCAGTTCTTTGAGCCCTCACTGTGATGTGCACTGAAAGGGGCTTTTCTTCAGCTGCTCGCCAAGCCGGGAGCGCCGACCGTCCGTTGCTATGCAACTACGGAGAAAGGATGTTTGAAGTGCGACGCTCAGACGCTCCTGAGATCGTGTGTGTCTTTGTTTGGCTGAGAGCAGAGAAACACAAGCTCCGACCCTGAACTGTAAACCAGAACGAGACCAGAGAAGGAAGAAAGGAAGAAAGGAAGGAAGAAAGGAAGGAAGGAAGAAAGGATTTCAATCAGAAGTCATAGAGAGATTCACAGTCACTCAAATGAACTCTGACCCTGACAGTCAGCAGGAGACACACCCACCAGCGAGCTACAGTAACATGAAGATGAAGTAGTTCGATTTCCATCATGATGTTTGTAATAAAAGCACCAGAGGAACAAAAACTACACCAAAAGGCTCCGGCTGCATTTGAACTCAGGACCTCAGGTGATCGTTTTATCTCAATGCATCCTCCAGCGTCTGAGCCTCTCCGAGAGGCCGCCCAGCTGGCTCCTACAACTTCCTGCTGAAGGGAAAGCTTAACAGGAAGTGGATAAATCAGCACAACAGGAAGTAAGATTTTAGAGCCTCAGCAGGCTGGACGAGCACAGGCAGCAGTTTGAGATATTTGAGCACACTGATCAATCACTCAGACAGAATACGAGTTCACAGGACATGAGAGAAATGATGGGAGTATTATCGGGCTGCTCTAAGAGCTCCCTGAAACGTCTTCAGTTGAACAGTTTTTGAACGTCAGTTTTTCTTCTCATTGGCTTCCTGTTAACTGCAGATCTTTTTCACATGTAGTCCTGAATAATCAGGATCATAACATTAAAGACCTCACAGTTCCTCATCAACCTAATAAAGGACTTCTTTCTCAGACTGCTGATTTATTTGTGGTTTCGAGAGTTTCTAAAAGTAGAACAGGAGGCAGAGCCTTCGGCTTTCAGGAGCTGCTGCAAAGAAACCCCGACTGGGGGAGATCAAGAATAAGACTCCGAGGACCCGAAGCAGGTGTGTACGAACCTTTGGAGCAGATCTCAGGTGAATTCAGGAAGTTTGTGCTGAACGAACCTGTGCGTGTTCTGTCAGAGACTGAAAACAGAAACTCCAGGTGTGGCAGAGAAGATGGAGGTCACACAGCTGCTCCTAAAACCTCAGAGGAGACGAGCTCAGGTGAGTCACTGCTTGCATCATGTTGTCTGTGTGAGAGCGTCACTGTACAGCCAGAAGTATGTGGACACGTTTGTGTTCTGGGTAAACAGCATTCACACATGACATCCATGCTCCTGTTGGCTGCATTTGAAAAGTTCTTCCTGGCTTTCAGGAGCAGAAGACAAATGAGATTCTTTTTCGATGCTTTAAATAGAGCCGGCCTGTAGCTTAAATGGGTCAGCAGCAAGCTGCTTGAGAAAATCATTTACAAAACAGCTTCCTGATATTACAGTTTTTCTCAGTCGCTTTGGTGCGTTTCTCAGAACACCATTAACATTTGCACAGCAGTTAGTGCATTTCCCAAAACAATTAGTGCAAACTGCAAAACCTAGTGGATAGCCTGCAAAAGCACGTCACATGCACAGAATTGATTATCCATACCTCAAAAGCAAGTATCCATGTCAACGAAACTGTCAGTGCCATCAAAATGAAAAGTCTTGACACCATCTTTATGAACAAGATGGTCAAATGGCATTGTCATGTTTCCACTATGACAGTTTATAATTTCAGTGTTTCCCATTGCAAAAACAATTGGTGACTCCTGAAAATGCTGACGACAGCACTATGGCCTACCTGTACAGCCATCTGAAATGTGCAGTAAAGTCACTGTAGATGTTATGGGAGTCTTGTGAGTAACTGAGACACTGAATACGTACGTTTCACATTTCCATTGTGTAGAAGTGTTTGTAATCCTACAGAAGTGTGCAAAAGAAAAATATGCTACAGTCACTTGTTCACTGTAGAATACATGTAAACATGAAATCACCCATTTGGTAGAGCCTCCTCATGAGTGACAGCTGTAATTCACCTGAGATCAATTGTTCAATTTCGGAGACATTTCCAGGAACAATGATACAGAAAGGTATAGGATTTGCTTGACAGATGGCCAGTATTTGGCATGTGATAACTA